TCTTAGGAATGGATGCAGGATCATGAGAATCACACTGTTCATGTCTGTTGATTTCCACAGTCACATTCACCAACATTGTTCCCAGAACCAGGAACGACTTCCTACAATGTAAGTCAGTAAGAAAACCAGCAGAAAACTCACTGAGTGTGTTCATGTTCTTCCTGTAGAATGTGAAAGAAGAGTGTTATAATTGATGATGTAAATGATGATTTGCACAGATATCTGCTCATCTGTACTGAGACACTAGCTACATTTACATGGACAATTTTTGCTTCCATCGGAATGAATTCATTCTGATTGATGAATCCGAACGTAATGTTTACACGAACGCCAAAATAAGTGATCAGGTTGATATGCGTGTTTATATGTCACAAGCTTCTGATCGGATTTAATCTTTTGACATGCGCGGACTGCGTGAATATTCAGAGTTTCCCGCTGTTGCCGCATACTGCACACTTGATATTTATCTATATCTATATCTATATTTATCTACTTGTAACGGGTATATTATTTTGAAAAGAGATTATCTTTGGGATACTTTTATTTTGGCGAAGTGGTCCGCTTTTTGCGCGTCCTGCAAGTGCAGCAGGGAGAGACGAAGAAAAGCGCGGTGTATGAGTGTGTCACACACAGAAGTGAGTGCAGTGTTGTGATCGAGAAGCTCGTTTGATAAAGTTGCTTCAACGGAAGATTATCAAGGCTTAAGTCGAATAAAGGACGACAGCACTAAGTGAAAGTGTGGACAGTGAACCGCAGTTCATAGCAGAAAGGAGTTTTTTCAGTTTTGTTCTAGTGGTATGTGTTGGCTGTTAAAATGACGCAGTAACATATCGAAGGCCATGGAAGCTGTGAGTACGCTTGAAGTGAAAACCCTGCTTGATTTTTGTCATCAAGTGACTTGTTGCATGTCCTTTTGCTGTATTTTGTACCTCTGGTGTTTTGATTGAAAAGCAGCGCCAAGAGCTAACATTTCAACGGGACCATTCACATGCAATTAAGTTTCCCGCACGTGTCAGAGCACGTGAGACCGAGATCGTTGTATAATGCAGAGACTTAACTTATCCGCCGATTCAAGGTTGAAGATTGTGTTGCTACCCTGCCATCCAAGTGACATCTCAGGTTGATTCATCTCGGTTTGATGTTTTTTTTGAGACTGAGTGAATTTTTGAACTTGCACACTTGAAACTGCTTGATCTTCAGTTTATTTCAACGTACTCTACTTTATCGTTCTACGGTATTCCTCTCATGTTTTCAGTTTTTTTAAAACCCTGCTTGATTTTTTGTCATCAAGTGACTTGTTGCATGTCCTTTTGCTGTATTTTGTACCTCTGGTGTTTTGATTGAAAAGCAGCGCCAAGAGCTAACATTTCAACGGGACCATTCACGTGCAATTAAGTTTCCCGCACGTGTCAGAGCACGTGAGACCGAGATCGCTGTATAATGCAGTTAATGCAGAGACTTAACTTTTCCGCCGATTCAAGTTTGAAGATTGTGTTGCTACCCTGCCATCCAAATGACATCTCAGGTTGATTCATCTCAGTTTGATGCTTTTTGAGACCGTTTATCTGTGGGATATTTTTACAAGACTGAGTGAATTTTTGAACTTACACACTTAAAACTACGTGATCTTCAGTTTATTTCAACGCAGCCTACATCCAGTCAACGCCCTCTAATTTATCGTTCTACGGTGTTCCTCTCATTTTTTCCATTTTTTTTAGTGACTGAACTGATAAACAGGGAACTGTGGTAATTCAAGTGGACTATGGAACTTGAGTAACTGTGAGTAACTCGTGAACTATGAGTAAACATTTGAAGGGACGTTTCATATAAGTGCTCATTCTGAGGTGAGCTTTAATTGTGTATGCTTTGTTTTTTTGTTGTTGTTTTCAAATGTGATTGTTTGAAGGTGATCATTTGAAAGGGTGAGAATTTGTGGGTTTACAAACTGACAAATTGCAAGTGATCTAATTTCGAAGTTTCATAAGGGATTTGTTATACCACAAGTGAAAAGTTTCAACTGTTGTGTTGAAGGTGATTGTGTGGATTTGAAAAGACAGCACAAAGACTGTAAATTATTTTTATGATTTTCATTTAATCGATTACTCAAACAAGAAATAATTATTCATAAGAAAAAGAAATCTAAAAGAAGAAATTCTGTTTAATTTCTTTTTGCACTTATCTTCAGTGTACCTTTCTGTTGAGAGCTGTCAGGGAGTGGGGGAGTCTCACTTACTTTGTTAGATCTGGGGAGGGAGGAGCATATCACACTGTACTCTCATGTATGCAATTTCACTTCAGGAAGCCACCGTGTAACGTTACCATACCTGAAGCCTACCCTTGTCAATCAGTAGTGTTCCAACACAATAAGGTAAGAAACCACATACACACGTTAGTGTGTAACGAGACTAAAAAGTTTGGGGAGCGGGGACCAAGATCCTTTCGTTGTCCAAACTTCCAGGGCAGCCGTAATCCATTTCCCCTACACAACGGGCTAAATACCCCCGTTACAAAAGTGGCGTCACGAACAGGATTGAATTAGGCACATTTAAGTAGTCACACGTCTCCAGGCCCACAAGTTGTTCTATGGTTACACCACAGCTGTGGTGCATGATATCCCTACTGGCGAAGCACCACCGATAAAACAGCGTCATCGTAGAGTACCACCACAGATATTTCAAGAAGTCAAAAGGCATGTCCAGAACCTGGTGTTGCACAGAATTTTCCAGTTTCGGTTTTCAATCCGATCAAGTGTTTACATGTGCTTTCGCTAAGATTACAAATGGAATAAACCATTCCTTACAATCCGATCGAAATTTTAATAAGATCTGGCCAATTCAATCCGATTGACACGGTAACATGTGACTTTTTTATTCCGATTGTGCTTCTAGTCCTATTACGATTGGATTGTTAGGGTCCATGTAAACGCAGCTACTGATGATACACTGAACATGAAGGGATCAGCTACATGAAAAGATCAAACAGATTCATAATTCCTGATTCTGATGTGTTTTATCTCCATCAGATTCCCATCAGCTCACTCTGGATCTGAACACAGCATTTAAACACCTCCGTCTGTCTGAGAGCAACAGAGTGATTACTTACACTTACACAGATCAGTCGTATCCTGATCATCCAGACAGATTTGATGGTTTTGCTCAGGTGTTGTGTAGAGAGAGTGTGTGTGGACGCTGTTACTGGGAGCTGGAGTGGAGTGGAGGTGTGTCTATATCAGTGTCATATAAGAGCATCAGCAGGAAGGGAGGTGTTGAGTGTGGGTTTGGATGTAATGATCAGTCCTGGAGTTTGCGCTGCTCTTCCTCCAGTTACTCATTCTGGCACAATAACATATGGACTGATCTCTCTGTAAAGTCCATTAGCAGCAGAATAGGAGTGTTTGTGGATCACAGAGCAGGAACTCTTTCCTTCTTCAGCGTCTCTGACACAATGAGCTTCATCCACACAGTCCAGACCACATTCACTCAGCCGCTCTATCCTGGGTTTAGTGTTTATAATGGATCATCAGTGAAACTGTGTTGATGAATCAGAATAGATGATGAATCAGTAACAGTGAGTGTTCTTCTGTCTCCCGGTGTCACAAGCTGCTGTTTTCATTACCATGCATTTAATTGTTTAACACACATTTTATTGTTAACTGTTAAAGTGACATCTTGTTAAAGGGGTCATATGATGCTGCTAAAAAGAACATTATTTTGTGTATTTGATGTAATGAAATGTGTTTATGCGGTTTAAAGTTAAAAAAACACATTATAATTTGTGTTAAATTGTGTAAATGACATGAAATATTTAAGCTGTTATAGCCCATATTATTCTACATGCAATTTCATGTCATTGAAGGAAAATAGTATTTTTTTTATTCATTTCATTGCTAACAAGCATTGTTCAATACTGAAGCCACATTTTAAAAACTGTTCATACAGACTGCATTACCAACATGTATGTATCTTGGCCAAACAGTTGATCTCACCTCCAAAACACTCTCAGACCAACAAAACACTTCATCTAGGTCTCAAAACAAGCTTGTTTCACCATAACACTGGCAACAATTCTCAATCAGAAAACATGCATTTCATTCATAACACTAAATCTGATCTAAAAAATACTAACAACAGGGAGCTTTACATAAAATATGAACTGTTATCTTTGAAGTCTGAATGATTTGTCACGTAAGTATTTCATGATAGGACAAGAATAACATATTTTCATTTTACTTACTGTAACACAGCGCAAAAAATAAAAGCATTTTAAAGAAAAAGCATATTTCTTTACATACCAAAAACAAAAACCCATCAACATTTACAAAATTTTCTAGTGAACATAAATAAATAAATAATAAGTTGAGAAAAAATTAAAAATGAATAAATTCCTGAAGCAATAATTACAAAATAAAATTAAATAAATAAATAAATCACCAGTAAGTCTAGTATAATGAGGAATGTGCAGTATTGGAGTCCCAGCTGCTCCAGGAGTATTTCTGTGGGAGTTTGTATGTTCTCTCCGTGTTGATGTTGGTGTCCCTGGTGATGGTGTTTTGCCCATAATCCAGAGACATACAGGACAGGTGAACTGGAGACTGTAAGTGAGTGTGAATATGAATGTGTGTGATGGACTGGCCATCTGTCCAGGGGGTTGTCCTGCCTATGACCCAGTAAAGCTCCAGCCTCTCCATGACTCTACATAGGACAAGTGCTTTGAAAAATGGAATGGAATAGATAGATGGATGTACAGTAGCTACTGTGAGGCTTCTAGTCTTCCCTCTCTGCCACTCTTTGTTTACCCACCAATGTGTCTTCCTTGATCCATGTTTCCAAACAAAATCATTCTGAAGCCATCCATCCCATTTGTTTATCAAAAGATTACAGAGAAAAAAAGACTAAAAATAGTACATCTGACTTGGCTTTCAGCTGAAATTGCAGTTCGTTGTGTTTGGAATAATTATTATTCAATTTAATAGTAAATATTCTGCAAATATTTTATATTTCAATATAATTCCTCCAGAAATGGACAGTTTGCCATCGTTCTGATTTGAATGTGCTTTTATCAGTTCTGTCAGGACCACTATCGTCAAAGATGATTGACAATTAGCATACAGTTTGGATTGGCGGTATGGTTCTGTTCTGGGCAAGAACTCCCTGCGCATCCATGCAGCCTAGCATGGATGAGAGCAGGGAGAGCAGCGATAACCCCCCAAAACAAAACCATATGCTGATATCCCCCAACACAAACTGATAGCAAAATCTCAAAGCCTTAAGCAACAAGCATGTTGCCCTTAACCAATGACCAATCAAATATGTTGCCAAAACCCGCATAACCTGTAGCAACAATTCTGTTGCCTTTAACAGTTGACCAATGAATATGTTGCCAATACCTTAAAAGTTTAAGCAGCATTCGCAATAATACCAGCTAGACTTAAGAAAAACATGTTCCAATTCAACTACAGCTTTCAGAACAAGCATGTTCCGAATAACGACCGGATTGCTCTGGAACAAGCATGTTCCCAACAATACAGCTATAATTTAAGAACAAGCATGTTCCCAATAACGACCAGGTAGCTTAAGAACAAGCATATTCCCAATGCGACTAGACAGCTTAAAAACAAGCATGTTCCCTATACAACTACAGCTTTTAGAACAATAACAACCAGATAGCTCTGGGACAAGCGTGTTCCCAACAATACAGCTATAACTTAAGAACAAGCATGTTCCCAATAACAACCAGGTAGCTTAAGAACGAGCATATTTCCAATACAACTAGACAGCTTAAGAACAAGCATGTTCCCAATTTGACTACAGCTTTTAGAACAAGCATGTTCCAATAACAACCAGATAGCTCTGGGACAAGCGTGTTCCCGACAATACAACTATAACTTAAGAACAAGCATGTTCCCAATAACAACCAAGCTTAAGAACATGCATGTTTCCAATACGACTAGACAGAACAAGCTTGTCTGATACAGGAACAGAATCAACGCTGAACTGACGGCTGCATATGAAACTGGAAAATGCTGCCTTCGGAGGACACATTTCAAGGTAGGAAGTCATCGAGACATGTCGAATCCAAAATTAGCTTCAATTCCTGCCTCCTGAGATACCTCATCTGGTCGATATTTAAAGGCAGAATAGATGTATCCTTTGCTGCCTTGATACCCAACAATCCTGTGTGTTCTATCCTGTGATGGTTTAACAAATAATTCATTGAATATTTGCTTAGTTATCACCAAGCTCGTTCTATTTGTTGTAGATCATTGAACCATTAAGCTGCCTCAGAAGCATGTCCGATATCAGTTTCATGAGTTACCTTCATGAACAAATGCTGCCTGCGAAGTCATTAGCTGATAGGCGGTGAGGCAGCATGTCAGCAGCCTAGGTTTTCGGATGCAGACGACTTCAACTGAACAATGACTGTTTACCATTTTCTCTTGGAGCTGCGCCGCGGCAGAAATTATTCTGTTTGCACCATGGTCGTTATTTCCTGCTGCTTAAATCTGTGCTGTAGTGCTATAAAAATTAGTCTAGTGTAGCCAGACCTTCAGACTGACGGCTGAAGGTCTGGAATTCATGGCAGCTTTCTTTGGCCAAGCCCGCCCATGAGGCCGTTTGACCGACATGTTGTTGCTAAATATTAAATCAATTTGAGTTTCAGATGATGAGGTGATTCTAGTAGGGCCCTGGATTAACTGTATGAGGTCAAAATGACTTACTATCCCCTGAAGCTTTTTCCTATTTGACTTCTCATTCCAATTTATATTAAAGTCTCCAACCAAAATTAACTCTTTATTTCGATCAAACCCCTTCAAGAGATTTCTCAGATGATCATAGAAAATACTACTTGATGAAGGAGGTCTATATATGCCCACTACAGTAAATGTCATACATGGAGATAAAACAATTGTTACAGCAATATATTCTATATCCACTAAAGTACTGAATTCAATTTCCTTACATTTAATGCAGTCCTTCACGTACATAAGCAGTCCACCACCTTTTCCAAATTTTCGATCCTTTCTGAAGACTTTATATCCCGGGACCAGATATGCAGTGTTTGGTGATGTTTCTGTCAGCCACGTTTCTGACAAGCAAAGCAAATCGAAGTTCGAATTTGTAAGTAACTGTTCCAGTTGTTCAGTTTTTGAGGCAACGCTTCTGATGTTTAAATGTCCCATAAGTAATCCTTTGGGCTTTGAACGCGAATCCCATAAAAGTTTCTCATGATTTGCCGTTTTAAACAGATGAAAATCCTTTGTCTCGTTGTGTGCACACAGTTTAAAAGTACCTTGTAGTCTGTTAACTCCAAAAGGCCGTGCATCGTCTTTAGGTCCAGGTCCTGGATTTTGATGAACGTCGCTCGCCAGAAGAAGAGTAATGGCTAAATAACTGATCGTTCTCCGGAACAATTGAGATGGTTTTCTTCTCTCGATAGATCGCAAGTGCTTTGTTGGAAAAGTCACTTTTCCGTCGTTTAATATCACGGAGAAAGAAGTGAATTGGCTGCATAAATCAGAGGTAGTAACAACAACTTGCGTGTCTGTCCACCGTTGATGTATGTTTGTTTCCCAACAGCAGCATAATGATAGGAACAAAAGGATAGCAGTATAGCCAATAACAATAATTTTCTGTGTCCTATCGGCAGTATTTTGGCTTTGATTGACTCTAGTTTTGAAATCAGAGTGATCAGTTTTTAGTTTAAAATTGGCAGCGTTTACACCTGCAGCTCCTGCCCTGCCGTCAGCGTGCGCCGCCATCTTTCTTTTTTCAGCGGTTTCAAAAAACACTGATGAAAGCATACACCCCCACTTAATTGGTATTTAAAGAGCATATGTTAATGTTTAACTTATTCATTAACAGATGGCGCTGTATTAAGCAGTATAAAAAGTGTTTCTGTTGCTTTATGAAAACATTTCTGAAACATCTGTGTATTTGACAAATGTTGCATTTAATTCACTTCATCTGTGAATGTATGCAAACACTG